TTTTTTTTTTTTTTTTTTCTTGCCTTTGCAGAACCAGATCTATTTACGTGTCGTTGATGTAAAACAAACAATCTTTGTGAGCTTAATATATTTTCTGGTTTGAATGTTGAGAAAAAAAAAATAACAATAACCAGCAAATGAAGCAACAAGAACACTACCTTTTATTATATAACATATTAGTCTTATAATGTAACTTGTTTTTCACATAATTTAACATGTTCATATTAATTTTTAACATGTTCAATGGATTATGCAACATATTTAACATGTTCATCGTATTTACCATGTTCATCTTAGTATTTAACTTACTCATCTTATTATATTGAATTATGTATTATGTAAAATATTCATCTACAGGTTCATAATGCAACATGTTCATATTCGTATGTAACATGTTTATCTTATTATCTAACATATTCATTAACCTCCACATCAATCTAAATCATTATACATTTTTCAAAATTCCACCTCGAACACCAAATACCCGCACTCAACTTTAACTTAGCTAAAAAAGGTAATTGTTCCTTGATCTGTTTTAGCGTAATGGATCTAACATATTCATATTATTATGTAAAATATTCATCTCATAATGAAACATGTTCATCTGAGTATTATCTAACGTATTCATCCTATTATCCAACATATTCATCTTATTATGTAACATTTTCAATGTATTACGCAACATATTCATCACATAATGCAACATGTTCATCTGAGTATGTAACATGTTCATCTTGTTATCTAACATATACATCTTATTTTGTAACATATTCATCTCATAATGAAACATGTTCATCTGAGTATTATCTAACATATTCATCCTATTATTCAACATATTCATCTTATTATGTAACATTCTCAATGTATTACGCAACATATTCATCACATAATGCAACATATTCATCTGAGTATGTAACATGTTCATTTTGTTATCTAACATATTCATCTTGTTATGTAACATGTTCATCTTATTTTTTAACATATTTAATGGATTTGACAACATATTCATCTCATAATGGTAAAATTTTTTATCTGAGTATTATCCAATATATTCATCTTCATCTGAGTATTATTTAACATATTCATCTTTTTTTGTAACATATTCATCTCATAATGAAACATGTTCATCTGAGTATTATCGAACATATTCATCCTATTATTCAACATATTCATCTTATTTTGTAACATATTCATCTCATAA